ACCTGCCAATAAGATGGGGACAGTGATGGCCTGTAGGATTACAATGAGGGTTTCGCAAAATAATCCCAGTGAAGCACCGAGCACAGTGCCAAGCATGTAGAAATGCTTACATGTAATGAAACTATTCCATTTTTTTAAAAGATTTATTTATTTATTTGGGAGAGAGGCAGAGAGCTGGGGAAGGGACACAGGGAGAGAGAGAATCTCAAGCAGACTCCTGACACAGGTCTCGATCCCACGACCCCAGAGATTATGACCTGAACCAAGACCAAGAGTCAGGCCTTTAACCGACTGTGCCACCCAGGTACCCTCAAACCGTTCCATTTTTAAAAATCATTCCTGTTTGAGATAAAATTATTCCAGAGAGATCTGGCCCTTTGAAAAGCTCAGAAAGTCAGTCTTGTTCGCTGTCAGAAATTGTGCCCGACACATCTTAGTGGATGAGTTTGCTTGCGTGAGCTTGGGGGGGGGGGGGGCTCCCTGAGTGATGACTTCACCACACGTCCTCGTCCCGTGCCCAGGCCTGGTGTGCCACTCGGTTTCCAGCCACAACTGGACCCCTCTGACCAACCAGGTGGTCTCGGGCAGACCCCCCCCCCGGGGACTGAGGGTCACTGGGTCATCTTGGGGGCCACCACCCCTACAGGCAGGGTTGGAGGAGACACACCTGAGCCTGGACCAGGGTGACCCAAAGTCCTGGTTTGCCCGGGGCCCTCCCAGCGTCAGCACAGAAAGCCCGGGCCACCCGCGGAGAATCCGGGTCCCCTCACAGACGGTGCCTGAGCAGAGCTGTTGGTCTCATCAGGGTGGGCAGCGGTCCAGAGCGCTGACCCCAAACCTGTTCATCATGACCTTTTGGTTTCCTCAGATGCCTTCAGAGGAATCAGCATCACCAGCCTCTCGCCGTGGAAGACCTTTGATGTACTTACAGAGCATTTTATTTCTTCCTTCAGTTTTCTGCAGATTGAATAACACCAGTCCCACAGGCTGTGGGCTTATGCCATGACCCCCGGTCGTCTCCACAATGGCCCCAGCCCCCGGGGTTTGGAGCCAGTGGGAGGACTGAAGGCTCCAGAAGTTGGGCCCTTCTCAGGGGCGAATCCTCATCTTTAGAACCTTTGGTGGGGGGGTGGTGCTGGAGGGTCAGGGCCCAGGAGAGTCCAGCCTGGCCTAGCGAGAAGCTCATCACAGCATCCAACTCAGCCCTGGACTCTCTGAGGGGCGTGGGGGGTGAGGTGTAAGGCAGAGAAATGTCTGATTTGGAGTGAAACCAGGTCAGAGTGGTGGGACTTGGCCCAGAGCACCTCCTTCTTACGTGCCCCACTTCCCCAGGCTCTTAGAATCAGCCCTCTGCAAACGCACCTGCCACGGGCAGAGCCCCATCCCCAACACCTCCCGAGAAGCCTCCCCAGACTCAAACCTCCTAATGGGCCCCTTGTATGCACGCCTGGTGCTCCCACAAAGATGTGCAATTCATCACTGTCTTGGCTCTAACCTCCAGTGATCATTTCTACATTTTGTCACGAGAGAAGCTTCTAGAATGTGTAGAACACAAAAGGATCCATAATAATAAATCCCATTATGGGGGAGGTGGTTCGGGGAATGACTGTCTTGTTATGTTTCTAGACTGTTTTGTGTTAATTTTATTTTTCCAGGGATATTTCAAGATCTTTTAGGAAGGAGAAGCTTGACTTACTTATCCTGCTTTCTGTTTTTCTTTTTTCTTCTTTTTTTAAACCTTCACAGGATGTGTCAGGGTGCCAGGAGCTAAAAAGCCCTCAGTTACTATAGTCAGAGGATGAGGAATGGATTCTGCATAGGCCGCCACCCAGCATGACACCCCGCACGCCAAAGCTCAACGGTGTTTGTTGAATGAATGAGCACTCCCTGTCTCGGAAATGGATCCTGCTTATCCCCTATTTGCCAGCCTGGTGAATATGAATTTGCCAGAAACAGAAAACAACATAAAAAAGATGGAATAGGACAAAAATATACAAGAGTGGGATGAAGTGCTTGGTATTTAAGTGATTTCTCGACTTTTTACAGGGGATTCTGGCTCCTATCCTCTCTCCCTCACTGGCAAAAGGAGCTGGGCGTATATTTGAAAGGTCCTTCCTCTGGGATTCATACTGAGTCACCTTCCAAAACCCCCAGCTCCTTCAGTCGCAGAAAGGCAAGCTGCAAGACGGGAAATTCAACGTGAAGTGTCACATACATTTAAACACTGGTATCCGAGAGAAAATCTTCCATGGGACTTTCAACACTTTTAGCTGCTGTCTGCACCCGCGAACTGAGGTTTATTTTACTAAGGGTGGCATTAGGCGAAGGCTTCAGCTTGACATAGTGATGGCTTCCTCTAGCAGACGTGCTGGTCAATTTGCCTGCCGTGCTAAATTTCCCCCCTCATTTAGGATGCTGTTCCCATGGCCTCCAAAGAACCAGCCCCTGAGCTAGAACACAAAAACCTAACACAGGGACCAGTGTGACTTCCCATGTAAAG